CGGAAGTGGGCGGAGCAAGTGTTGCCTTTCTAGGCATTCCGCTACTTCCGTGTTTTGGACCGTTTCAAAGTTTAAAACGTTATTATCAAGAATTTTATTAAAATGATTTAATTGAATGATATAAGGAGCCCATATAAGCACATATGAAAGAAAAAAAATTCAGAATTTCATAGTATGTGTACAGTGTAGGGCTGTCAAAATTATTTTAACGCGTTAAGGATTGTAAAATTAATCGCATGCGTTAACGCGTTAAAGGCACAATATGTAAGATGTTTTTATTAAAATATCCAAAAACCTCTAGAACAGTGTTATATATTTTGCTGACTTGTGTACTTACATTGTCCCAAATGTTTCGAAGAATGTTTAAATCCAGAGAAATAAGCAATTTTAACTAGTGACACGAACCGTGTCTAAAGTGTCATTGTGTCGCCTGCCAATGACGTCATAACCCCTCGATTGTTTTGTTTTGTAGAAAACATGGAAACACCAAAGACGCTTTAATATGTTGTGCGTTTTAATAGACTGGTGACGACCACACGGAGTAGCATAATAACATAACTTTTAATGTAGGCCTATCTAGTACGATAAAACACCACCGTTCTCCTGATGCCTCCGGGGTGGCGTTTGCACTGACGGCTTGGGCCCGCCATCGCTGCTTGCAGCTATATTTGTTATTGTATTCATTAATCCAATAAGATTAATTGTGCAACGAGTGGCCTGGATACCTGTAGGCCAGAGGAGCTTATCCTTATAAAGTATAGTCAGCACTTTGGAAAATGTCTTTAAAGTTCATGGACTGACAAAACAGACCTTATGGGGCCTGCTGTATTATGTGTTTGCACTTGAGTATCTTTGACCAGTAACATTTATGTATGTCGGCATGAAAATGTGTGTCCAATGTGCATTGTGAACACTGTAAGACAGACACTTCTTCACTGCATATACAAAGATATTATTATAGTGAAATCATGTTATTAGTCTGCTGCTTTGCATTTATATTCTTTAATATCACGTAATCCCTTTTCTTTGAGGTTATACACCCTATATCTCATTGCAGAACTATCAACATTGTGGCCTAAAGTAGGCTACTAATAACAGGATCAAATTATACCTTCTACAGTAGATTCTTTCTGTCATTTTGGAGACAGTACACTGTTACGTTGTAACCTGAGTAATAGAGGCAACATATCACGTTAAAACAGTTTTGTGATCTATTGGGTCTGGGTCAGCCTAAAAACAAGGCCATTGGACTTCCACAACCCCATTATTTTTGTTATTACACTCTTAAAAATAAAGGTTCCAAATGAACGTTTTCTCAACATTGCCATAAAAGAACCATTTTGGTTCCACAAAGAACCTTTAAGTGATAAATAGTTCTTAAAAGAATGTGTGTTTTTCTTAGTATAAAGATTTTCTGTGGAATGGAAAGGTTCCGTGGATGTTAAAGGTTCTTTATAAAACCATTGATGCCAATAACCCTTATTTTAAAGAGTGTAACCATTTAGATTTTAGTTTTCACTATGATCCAAAGTGGTACGAGTCTAGACAAAATGCACCACCCTCATGAACTAGGCCAGACTTCTCAGATCCTATTTTTGAAAAACTATTAATAGGAAGACCAGAGGGCAGAGGGGATTATGACTCAGATTGTCTGAATGATTCACAGGATTGAGTGACCAAGAGCAGGATATGGTCAGGGCTTTCAACATTTCAGATCCAGGGACCCCCACCCCCTTCCCAGTCAGCTAAACAAGGGAATTCCAATATAAAAATGCTAGATAAATGCATTCTCAGTTACATTTTAGTAGCATAACTTTAATTCTAGCAGACATTACTTGTTTCTATAATATTAAGTATATAATTTATGTACCACCTTTGGACATTTGTTTTAAAATATATATATTATTTTAAAGAATATTTTAAAGAAAAAAATCAGAAATTGCTTGCAAATTTCACAAATAATTACAAAGAAACGGCAAGTAACAAATTAAATTAAATGTGACATTTTGAAGTAGAGAGACTGAACTTTTATCGTCTTGTAAAATGTACTGTAATAATCTTTGTTTTATATACAACTTTGAAAAAATGAAGTTTACAGTGTATATGTCTTCAGACCCCCCTGTAAGGCCATGGACAACCGGGGGAAGGTCCAGTATGGGATCTTCTTTTTTTTTCTCTTCTCTCTCTCTCATTTTGGTTTCTCAAAAGTGAAGTGCTATATGTTATAGTGTATAGAAGAAGTAAACAGTATCCAAATGTATTTTCACTGATCCATTTTTGAGTGATTTTTTTCAGTAGTTAAATGGAAGAATGTTTGTGGAATTCGTGGCCTTCAAAAGATTATTTTAGATTTAACAGGTAAAAAATAATCAGATCATGGTTAATGTTCTGACATGAGACCCACAGAGAGCCCTTGAACCTGAATTGAGGAATGGAACACTCTGTGTGCTAAATGATGAATTATCGCAAAGCGCTTGATCTTGTTTCAAGCTAATTAATTCAGACATGGATTGATATGAATAATCCCTTTCAGTCATGTGATCCAAAATAGTTCTTGTGCTGAATCCCAAGCCAGTAGAGCACATTTGCTAATAGACTGAGGTTAGTTTTACACTTTGGTACATACTGAAATTTGTAACTTCAGTTTTTACTACTATTTTTAAAGGGCATACACGTTTGTATCCTAAATCAGACATTTCTGGTGTTGAATTATCAGTTTGTGGGGCTTAAAAGGTTTATTGGGATGTCTGGATCAGGGAGAACTCCAGGACAGTGAAGCTGACAGATGTGATAATGGACATTTTTTGTTGAGAAGCAGAGCTTGTGTTCTTTATTGTCATCTTTTGCGATGGGTCAGCGACTCAGTGAGGATTCGGACGATAAAGAGATTGATGCTGCTGAACTGCAGGAGTGGTATAAAAAGTTTGTGGTTGAATGTCCGAGCGGGACCCTCTTCAGGCATGAGTTCAAGAGCTTCTTTGGTGTAACTGGAAACCCAGAAGCAGCCGATTATATAGAAAACATGTTTCGTGCTTTTGATAAAAATGGGGTAAGTTATTCAATTTCAGTTAAGTTACAAAAAGTAGGCATAAACACTGTGTAGGAGTGAGTGTGTAAATACTTAACACCAATAGAATAGAATACTGGGAAAGAGATTGCATATTGAAAAAAAATGAACCTGAAAATTCACAGAATTTTTAACAGGTCAATCCCCTTTTCTCTTTCCCTCCCTTTAATTTTTTTCATAGGACAACACTATTGATTTTCTGGAATACGTTGCAGCCTTGAATCTAGTGCTGCGAGGAAAGTTGGAGCACAAACTGAAATGGACTTTTAAAATGTATGACAAGGATGGGAGTGGCTGCATCGACAAAACAGAGCTCAAGGAGATTGTGGAGGTAATCATTTCTCATGTTCTTCCCGATTGTCAACACGGTCAGATGGACTTAAACATCGATTGGGATTATAATACTTCAGTGGTTTACTAGATTACTAATGAAAAAAGGATGGAAACTGTAATTCTGTGTGCTCTGGTTGCATTTGTACTGAGATTACATTTTCATGACCGGTTTCATAACTTTCACCTTGACATTGAAACTTATAGTGAGATGTTTACAGAAGGATTAATCCATATGACCTCTGTGATAGCAGGACATTTGTGTGCAGAAATGCTATTATACTTTGTAATACCGCTATAAAGAAGACATTTATGCATTTAGGATTACAAAAGAAAGAAATGGCCTCCTTTACTTTACTTTTACAGTCAATCTACAGACTAAAGAAAGCCTGCCATGGTGAACTTGATGAAGAGTGTAACCTACTGACCCCAGATCAGGTGGTGGACCGAATATTTGAGCTAGTGGATGAGAATGGAGATGGTAAAACTTACTATGATTCATTCTTTTTCTACAATTATTAAATGGTTAAGCCAAAGTCTATAGTCTTTTCCTTTATTATAATATACAGTCTGTTTTTATTTAAGTACACTGATGTTAATAATTAATCAAACCGTGGAACAATTCTGGCTTTCTGCTCAAAGGCCTTTATGAAAAAGCAGCTGATCCTGAGTTTCTTTGCTGTGTCCACAGGGGAGTTGTCTCTGGATGAGTTCATTGATGGGGCACGACGTGACAAGTGGGTCATGAAGATGCTACAAATGGACGTGAACCCCGGGGACTGGATCAATGAACAGAGACGCCGCAGCGCCAACTTCTGAACTCCATATTCACTAAAACAACCCTTAACAGAAGCTTACCCCTTAACCAACATATACAGAGCATGCATAGCTTCTCAACTACAGTCTTAGTCTTGGTTCATTCAATTGAATTTAAGCCATCAGTCTTTTGTTTTTATGTAGTGGTGTAACTCCCTTTTTTTTTGACAAACAGAATTAATTCTATCTACATGTAAATATTCATGTTTTCTTTATTGTTTCTTCCATTCTTGTTGTTAGGATTTGTAAAAGGCTCACTTTCATGACTGACTGGATTTCTGTTATTATTATTCTGCAGATGAGGTGCATTTGAGTTTACTGCATGTGGCATATTACTCAACTTATAAACAACAGCAATCCATTTCAAATTGGCATATCTGATGTTTGTAAATACATGAATATTGTAAAGAATGAAGTCCCTGGAAGGTCTCAATTATAAAGTTATTTGCATTTGAACATTTCTCAAAAATAAAAACTTACCAATTATAAATGTAATGTACTATTACTGATTTTTTTCTTTCATTTATTACAAAGAAAAAAACGTTAATCATGGTTTTGTTTTGTGAGCTGTGTTAAATGTAGTTGATGGTAATAATATGTAATTCTACAGTAACAGCACTTACAAATTTCATGATTACGTTTATTTTGTTTATCACGGTTATAATGGAGCAGGGTAACAAAAACCCCAAAAATCTCCATAGCAGAATATTACCAATATTGTTTCCGGACTATTTTATTCAAGCCATTTTATGATTAAATTAACATCATCACTGATGTTATATCACTTTCAAATAATTTTTAGTCTCAGGATGTCAGCAGCATGTGAACCCGAATGCTCATCCTCCAGGTAACCACGAAGGCCATCTGTCTCTCCAGCACCTCCTTGAATGTCTACCTGGTAGCACAGGAAGGTCTTGTTGCGCCCGGAGGAATATTCCACATTTTTAAATTGGAACTTAAAGAAGGTCGGGTTCAGTCTGTCTCTGCGGGAAGAAGGAGGACATTTGGAATAAGACTTTTATCACAATCTATTGTGAGAAAGATTGGAAAAAGTTGTAAATAGTTGGAATACACTACATGACTTCATTACTAAAAAATCGTACAGATTTTAAAACACTAGGCATCATACGCTTGATAAACTTTGTAAATGGTTACAGAGAAAAATTCGATTTGCAAACTCTTCAGACTTTCAGGTCGTTCCAAACATGGCAAACTCGCACAGAAACGTGCACCTTGTTGCTAGGACACACATCAGAAATGGAAACAATATGTGTTCTAAAATCAGCTCAAAATATCAGACATGTTGATATCCTTTCAGACTGGATGGAATCATAATCTAAAGCTCAAAATTGGAGACTTTACCCATCATACACTACATGAATTTCTGTGAAATCTCTCAACTCCAACTGCCCATATCTGCAGACTGGCTCTGCTTTTCAGCAACAAGCATCAACTACATATATGGGCAAAAATCTGTGCAAAAGTTGTGTGGTGTATTCCAGCTTTAAAACAAATGAATGCATTAACTTTGGACAAGAAGCACTTCAGTTTGAATGGCCACTAATAAGCCTACAGAGACTCAAAATGACTCAATGGGCTTGTATTGATCACTTTGTTTAAATAAATTCTTATAATATGTCAGGTGGGTTTTCTCTTGAGTTTTATTTTATTTGAAAGAAGAACCCATTGAGTCGTAAGCGATGGTGGTGGCTTTTTTTTGGCCCTGGTGTACACTACATGACTTAAAAATAATGGCCACCTGAACACCACACCCATATGTGCTTGCTGAATGATTTTAAACCAGAAATTAATAGGGAATTTTTCTGCTCTAATAGTCTAATATGCTCTAACAGTCTTCCACTTTTATGGGAAGGTTGTCCACTAGAATTTGGATGATGGTTGAGATTTTACCCCATTCAATCATGAGAGCCAATGTGGTTTCATTTTTTTGTGCAGGTCAATCAAACCTTATGGACCTCACTTAATGATGTACCCTGTTGAAAGTCATTGAGCTCTTTGGTTCTCTAAATCTTTGTTTTAGGTAATTGCATGTCTGTGTGCTTGATTTTATGCTACTGTTACTGTGGGTGTAGCTGAAATAGTCAAACTGGTTAATTATAAGACGGTGCTCACATACTTTTGGTCTTTATGTGCCTGCATCATCATTGTTTGCTACACCATGGCAGGGACAGGAAAACTCATAAAGACATATATTATTCTGAGTAGCCTACAGAAAAGTCCCCACTTTCTAAAAGCACTGGGGTTCAAAGCAATGTCCTGGATTGGTCTCATTTATAGTGTTCTTGTCCAACATGTTGGAATTTCAGATGTAACTGTTGTCAGAGTTGGTCCCGCCAAGCATTGCTTTTAGAATGCTAAATACTCATCTATGTTTTCATTTATTAAAGGTCCTTTTTAAAAGGTCCCTCTTCTAAACAAGTGGCAAAGTAATCTTAAAATAGGTTGTGGTGTCATGCAATATGCCATGCTGTTATGAATTTTGAAGATACTCTATCAGAAACACATTAGCAAAAACTGTACTTTTAGGGATACAACAGCTTGTCAGTACCCTTAAAGGGACAAATTTGTGCCTCTACTCCTAAAAGGTGCATAATAATTACTTAGATGAATATGTACCCTTAAGGTACAATTATGAATTCTTTATGGTTAAATAAGGCACAAAGTTGTCCCTTTGTATTGAGCCAGAGACAAGCTGTTGTGTCCCCCTATAGGTACAAATATTTTGCTTGCCCCCCCCAATGTTCTTGCTGAGTGACTGAAATATTACTGTGGGATCCAGTTTGTATAAGTGAAACATATCTGACTTACCCTACAATGATCTCAAATGGAGGCAGCTCCATAGGCTCCAGCTCAAACTCCTCATCTTTGACAGGGTGTTTGGCTCCTTCTGCTACCTCCCCATTTCCTTGAGGCATCTCCTCATTTTTTTGCTGATTTTCTGGGGTCTTATCTGGCTTCTTTGTTATCTTTTCACCTTTATCTTTGTTCTTTTCTTTCTCCTTTTCAGGTTTACTCTCTACTTTCTCCACTTTCTTTTCTTTCTTCTTTGTCAGACCACCTTTACTGGGGGTCTTGCTGTCCTTTCTGTCCGCCATGACCTAGCTGTGCAGTGAATTGAGTCTGCTAGCTGTGAGTGTGTGAAGGGTGCTGTTGATTTAGTATGTGAGTCAGAGAGGTGACAGCCTGAATATGTTCCTAAGTCTTATAGATAAAGATGAAGATAACTCACTGCCACAAACAGGAGCTGGTCAGGGAGGGAGGGAGGGAGGGAGACTGAAGGGCAGCTGCTCTCTTGTTTCCATGCTAAAAAAAGGACAAAGTATAATGGGGGGGAGGGGGGTTGTTATACATTCATTGTTTAAACATGTCACCATTTTGTTCAACAGGTGCATCAAGGAGCCGTTTTCTTTTTGCTCAATTTCAAATGTGTAATGAGGATTGACACTTAATGGAATATAATCCAGACTCTTCATATTTCCCTCTCCTTTTGATCAGGATAATATTGCTGTTCACACACCAACAACAGGCAGTTTATTAATAACTGTAGTTTGGCAGAGTGTTCAGAAAGACTCTGTCTCTTCACATAGTGAATGCCATAGTTCAGTTTAGGCCTTTACTACCCTCACATCAAGGTGGTCTAAAGGTCAGCATGGCACTGGCCAGTCCCTGAAGTATCAAAAAAAATTTGACCTGTGAGCAAACTGTGTTACTGTTTACAGACACTTAAGATCTTGTGATGAAAGAACTGGGTCACTCTGAAGAAGATAACAGATGTGAAATACGGTGTATTTTAAGGTTAGATTCCTGTACAGAGTGCTGATGCCCCCACTCTACCATTTCGAGTCATTAGTACTGTGTTACTAGTTCCCTGCCAGCGTTTTTACACATTCTTGAACCTCTGCCAGAGCTGGGAAACCAGGGAAAGTCCAATGGTTTTGGCAATGTTCAGGATACTAGCTTACTGGGCAGTTTACACTGTGTTCTGCTGACTATTTTTAAAAACAGTATGTGAAACGGAAGGTGTTATTCCATGATAAAACTATTTCAGTGTCAAATTACCTCATCAAGTATGCATCTTTTGGCTGATAATCTGGTTCATCCATCACAATAGAAATGGAAGGAAAATGCACTGGTAATTTATATATAGTTTATCATATACACTGCACCAATAATAAGAGTAGTTGCATTCCCACATCTCTAACAAAATCTGAGCTGCGTGATTGTTTATATCTTCTCAAAATGTAAACTGTAGTATATGTCTATCTATAAAGTTGGATAATATATTCAACTTTATCCGCATACATACAGTACACTCAAGTGATATATCATTTATAGGAAATCTCAAATGCTGTTTATTTTGTCACAAAATGTAATTACATTGTTGCCTTTATATCTTCATCTTAATATAAAGTTGGAAGTATGTCCTTTATCCGTATACATTCAGTATACCTGAGCAGGGTGATATATTATATTTATCATACATCTACTTGATTGCCTGTATTATGGCAAAATCCTGCTAAATGTGACTCTTAAAGGGATAGTTCACACAAAAATGAAAATTAGCCCATGATTTACTCACCCTCAGGGCATCCTAGGTGTATCTGAAAATCCTCTTTCAGACGAACAGTTATATTTAAAATTGTCTTGGCTCTTCCAAGCTGTATAATGGCAGTAAATGGTGCCCCTGTTTTTGAAGCCTAAAAAACTGCATCCATCCATCATAAAACTACTTCACACAGCTCCGGAGTGTTAATAAAGGCCTTCTGACACGAAACGATGCGTAAGTGGAAGAAAAATATAGATTTTTAAATTTATTTCTAAACTGTAATCTCCAGCTTCCGGTCGCTGGAGCAGGCGTGATCACAAAAAGATGAGCGTTGACATAGGCGTAGCGGAAGCTCCGGGGAGAGAGTGATGAACGCGGAAGCACAGAGGAGAAAGCAAAACAAAACACCTGTCACAAACTAGTACTACAAAACCAGCCGTATTTGTTTGAACCAGAGTATACCGACCAGGAACTCCGCGAGATGGAGGAGGCTGTAGCGGCGGTGGCTCAAACTACAGATGTAGTTCACATGGTTTCCTTGTGCTGTAAACAAAACTTGGTTCTCACGAGACTACACTCTTCTCCCCAGAGCTTACGTTGCGCCTTCCGCTACGCCTAGGTCATACGCTCGAACGCGTTATCGTGAATACGCCTACTTGAGCGACTGGAAGCTGGAGATTACGATTTATACATTTTTAAAAATCGGTATTTTTCTTACATTAACGCTTCATTTCGCTTCAGAAGGCCTTTATCAACACAACGGAGCTGTATGGAGTAGTTTTATGATGGATGGATGCTGTTTTTTAGGCTTCAAAATTGGGCACCACTGCCATTTTACAGTTTGGAAGAGCCAGGACAATTTTAAATATAACTGCAATTGTGTTCGTCTGAAAGAGGATTGTCAGAAACGCCTAGGATGCCCTGAGGGTGAGTAAATCATGGGCTAATTTTCAATTTTGGGTGAACTATCCCTTAAAGACATGAAGATAAGATGTTACTTGCAAACATTAACATCATGTTTTTTTAGCCGCCTTGAAACAGTGTTTATTGTGAAAAGCACTACACAAATTAATTTAAAGGTTATTGCCCATGAAAAGCAGATACATCACTAGGGTATTTATTTTTGGATTCATATATATGATCTATTAAAGGGATAGTTCACCCAAAAATGAAAATGTGATGTTTATCTGCTTACACCCAGGGTATCCAAGATGTAGATGACTTTGTTTCTTCAGTAGAACACAAACAAAGATTTTTAACTCAAACCATTGCAGTCTGTCAGTCATATAATGATTTGACCTGTGAGCAAACTGTGTTACTGTTTACAGACACTTAAGATCTTGTGATGAAAGAACTGGGTCACTCTGAAGAAGATAACAGATGTGAAATACGGTGTATTTTAAGGTTAGATTCCTGTACAGAGTGCTGATGCCCCCACTCTACCATTTCGAGTCATTAGTACTGTGTTACTAGTTCCCTGCCAGCGTTTTTACACATTCTTGAACCTCTGCCAGAGCTGGGAAACCAGGGAAAGTCCAATGGTTTTGGCAATGTTCAGGATACTAGCTTACTGGGCAGTTTACACTGTGTTCTGCTGACTATTTTTAAAAACAGTATGTGAAACGGAAGGTGTTATTCCATGATAAAACTATTTCAGTGTCAAATTACCTCATCAAGTATGCATCTTTTGGCTGATAATCTGGTTCATCCATCACAATAGAAATGGAAGGAAAATGCACTGGTAATTTATATATAGTTTATCATATACACTGCACCAATAATAAGAGTAGTTGCATTCCCACATCTCTAACAAAATCTGAGCTGCGTGATTGTTTATATCTTCTCAAAATGTAAACTGTAGTATATGTCTATCTATAAAGTTGGATAATATATTCAACTTTATCCGCATACATACAGTACACTCAAGTGATATATCATTTATAGGAAATCTCAAATGCTGTTTATTTTGTCACAAAATGTAATTACATTGTTGCCTTTATATCTTCATCTTAATATAAAGTTGGAAGTATGTCCTTTATCCGTATACATTCAGTATACCTGAGCAGGGTGATATATTATATTTATCATACATCTACTTGATTGCCTGTATTATGGCAAAATCCTGCTAAATGTGACTCTTAAAGGGATAGTTCACACAAAAATGAAAATTAGCCCATGATTTACTCACCCTCAGGGCATCCTAGGTGTATCTGAAAATCCTCTTTCAGACGAACAGTTATATTTAAAATTGTCTTGGCTCTTCCAAGCTGTATAATGGCAGTAAATGGTGCCCCTGTTTTTGAAGCCTAAAAAACTGCATCCATCCATCATAAAACTACTTCACACAGCTCCGGAGTGTTAATAAAGGCCTTCTGACACGAAACGATGCGTAAGTGGAAGAAAAATATAGATTTTTAAATTTATTTCTATCTCCAGCTCTCCAGCTTCCGGTCGCTGGAGCAGGCGTGATCACAAAAAGATGAGCGTTGACATAGGCGTAGCGGAAGAGAGAGAGATAGAGTGATGAACGCGGAAGCACAGAGGAGAAAGCAAAACAAAACACCTGTCACAAACTAGTACTACAAAACCAGCCGTATTTGTTTGAACCAGAGTATACCGACCAGGAACTCCGCGAGATGGAGGAGGCTGTAGCGGCGGTGGCTCAAACTACAGATGTAGTTCACATGGTTTCCTTGTGCTGTAAACAAAACTTGGTTCTCACGAGACTACACTCTTCTCCCCAGAGCTTACGTTGCGCCTTCCGCTACGCCTAGGTCATACGCTCGAACGCGTTATCGTGAATACGCCTACTTGAGCGACTGGAAGCTGGAGATTACGATTTATACATTTTTAAAAATCGGTATTTTTCTTACATTAACGCTTCATTTCGCTTCAGAAGGCCTTTATCAACACAACGGAGCTGTATGGAGTAGTTTTATGATGGATGGATGCTGTTTTTTAGGCTTCAAAATTGGGCACCACTGCCATTTTACAGTTTGGAAGAGCCAGGACAATTTTAAATATAACTGCAATTGTGTTCGTCTGAAAGAGGATTGTCAGAAACGCCTAGGATGCCCTGAGGGTGAGTAAATCATGGGCTAATTTTCAATTTTGGGTGAACTATCCCTTAAAGACATGAAGATAAGATGTTACTTGCAAACATTAACATCATGTTTTTTTAGCCGCCTTGAAACAGTGTTTATTGTGAAAAGCACTACACAAATTAATTTAAAGGTTATTGCCCATGAAAAGCAGATACATCACTAGGGTATTTATTTTTGGATTCATATATATGATCTATTAAAGGGATAGTTCACCCAAAAATGAAAATGTGATGTTTATCTGCTTACACCCAGGGTATCCAAGATGTAGATGACTTTGTTTCTTCAGTAGAACACAAACAAAGATTTTTAACTCAAACCATTGCAGTCTGTCAGTCATATAATGGAGGTGAAAGGTAATCACGGCTTTGAGAGTCAAAAAAACATACACAAACAAAACCAAATTAAACTCTGCGGCTCGTGATGATACATTGATTTGTAAAGACACGAAACGATCGGTCTGTGCAAGAAACTGAACAGTATTTATATCTTTTTTTACCTCTGATTTGCTGCAATGTCCGAACTGTCCTGAGCGCATCCTGAGTGCGTTTGCGTCTTCTTCTT